GGGGTTGGGTGGTGGTAAAACGAACCATGGACTGGGATTAGGTGAGGGGAAAACTGGTTGGGGGTTACGAGACGGGTGGTGTGGGCTGAGGGGACTCGAGGACAAAACCTCTACCTAGCTAGGGAAACAGACCACCCGCCCCCCACCACCCCCCAAACTTCAGACAGTCCTCCCTTTCCCCTCTTTTTCCCCACTCTCATCCAATTCCTCATTTCCCGGGCCCCCCCTCTTCTCCCCACTCACCCGTACGGCCCACGCGGTGGACGTAACCCTGCAGGCTGGACGGAGGGTCGTAGTTGAGCACCGTGCGAACACCCTTGAAATCAATACCCCGTGTCACGCCGAACTCAGCGTCTTTCCGGGCGCCGCCGTTCTCACCCCCCCTGGCCGCCTTGCCCGCCTTGCCCAGCAGCACCTTCTGCTTCTTCCGGCCCTTCTTCCCGCCCGCCGCCGCATCCTCTCCCCCCTTCCCTCCACCTCCACCTCCGCCATCATGCGACGGCGCATACACGTCATCCGTAGCGATGAGGTAGTCGAACAACCCCTTGTTGAAAGAGGCTAGGATGTGGGACCGGGAGTTCAGCGGCAGCTCGCTGTTCAGCAGCGCGGGCCGTACACCAAAGGCCTCTAGAAACAGCCTCAGTCGTACTCCCTCGTACACCGTGTTGACGAATATGAGGACCTTCTTCGGCACCAGACCCAGACGGAGCAGGGCCAGCACGTGGAGCAGCTTGTCCGGCCGGGGACACTGTCGAGTGGGAGCGGGGGGGAAGGGGTATGTGTGTTTGTGTGTGTGTGTGTGTGCGTGTCTGTGTTTTTTTCGTTCATGTGCAAACATGCGGGGCTTGTGCATCCCCGCTTCCCCGACCAGCCTTTGGTTTCCCCCCACCCCCCCGCTCGCTCGTCCAGATCCCCAGTTCGACTCCAACAAACGCCGTTTTTCATCTCCCCACCACCCACGCTCACTCTTACCTGGATGTAGAAGTGCTGAATGTCCGCCGACACACCCGACCCAGAGGCCAAGCCCCCGCGGCCCTCGCCGCCGCCCTCCGCCGCCCCCGGGGCCCCGGTCCCCCCCGGCCCCCCCGCCAGGTTGAGAGTTATGGGGTTGTGCAGCACCAGCTTCTGCAGCCTCTCCACCTCCTCGCTGACGGTGGCTGACATGAGAATGCACTGGCAGGACCGGGGGACCTGACATACATACGCAAGTACGTACGTGTGTGTGTGTATGTGTGGTGCGGGGACACGGCAAAGGGGATGGGAAGGGGAGATGTGAGAGATGCAGGAGGCCGTCGGGGGGAACTTGAGGGGGGGTCCCATCCCTCCTCCCCTCTTCCCCCCGCCCTCATAAAGAACCGGCCGTGGCGGGGATGAGGTTCTCAATGCCCCCCTTATTCCCCCAACCAACCTCCATGCCATTATCCGTACTCGCCTACGCACGTACCCGCTCCGGCCACGTCACCAGTTGGTTGGTTCACTGACCTTGCCGTACGGTTACCCCCCTCCTTTCCCCCCCGCCGCGGCTGCTGCTAACCAACAACAAAAACTAACTCCACCCCGGAGGATCGCGTGCCCTTGCCTGCGGCGCGAGCAGCTGCAGATCTTCCTCGTATCCGTACGACAGCAGCAGATCCGCCTCGTCCAACACCAGTACGGCAAGACGTGAGGTCAGCAGCGCTGGCGGCAAAAGGCCCTCGCGGAGAGCTGCTGCGATCTTGCCTGAAGACGGTGGTTGTGGTGGTTAGTTAGCGGGACGAATAGCGATGATGATGGTCGTGGGGGTGATAGCGCCTGGCCATCCCTTCCCCCTCTCT